AAATTAGACAGGATGAAAAAGAAACAAAACAAGTTACCTTAAACATCGTGAAAGAAGATAAGATAAACAAATTGTTCTGTTCTTGATTAAAGATTGTCTGTGGCTTTGATTTCCAAGAAACAGAAACACAGATCTGTTTCTTGTTTATATCTGGTGTTAACGTTTGAACTTGTCTGGTTGCTGCTGAATCAGGATCATTGAACATGTCTTCTTCCACGGATTAAATGGATTCTCTATACTTGACTTGATTCTGAGCTGGAATGTTGGAAAAGAAAGAAGGTAAGTTCGATAACTATCTCTTTTCATGGTCGCAACACAAGTCGAGTTCGTTCGTGTTCTATGTCTATAGTTATACTAGTCTCGTTTGCGATTGAAATACTTCTGATTCGAAGAGTTGACTTTGAAGTTTACCTCCTCGGTTACAAGATTTAGACGTTTCATACCCGTTTTGTAAATGTTTATAGGTTATAAAATAGTTTTGGTCCATATATTTTAACTAGGTTTTTAGATCAATAATGACTTAGTTCGAGAGCTCAATATATAAAACGATGTAGTTCTTTTTGTTTAAATTTGTGGCTTCGTTAGCTTCTATCATGAATATAATCACTCAATCGTTAGCTTCTATCATGAATATAGTCATTGAATCGATAGCTTCTATCGTGCATATAGTCACTGAATCGTTAGCTTTACTGAATCGTTACAGACTTTAAACTTTGTTGACTAAATTGTTACGAATTTAAACCTAAGAATGCATCTCGTGTTAAGTTTTTTATTTTGTTTTTGTTGGTCAAACAATCTGAAAGTAGTTTTAGTTCCCCTTTCCTTTTCAGTTGGGAGAATAGAAAACTTATAGTATTCAATAAAAGAATACATTTGGGAGAGCATAAATTCCAGAAGTCAGTTTCTTCCACCCAACAAAACATTATAAAATTGAAGTTTCCCCAAAAGCCAACCCATCTTCCTTCTTATTGCTCCCACGTTTTCATAACTCCCATTCTCTTCTTCTTCCTCCTCCTCCATGGATGATGACAGAAGAGGTTCTTACGGAAGCTCGTCGATGCAGATCGAGAGCTATTACGGGCCACCGAAGAGCCAGATTCCTGGGAAAAAAGACAAGAGAAGTTCTGGATCTTCTTCAAAATCATTCAAATTTTCAGATCCTGAGTTTCAAAGGAAGAAAAGGGTTGCCAGTTACAAGATGTACTCTGTTGAAGGCAAGATGAAAGGCTCCTTCAGAAAGAGCTTCAGATGGCTCAAGGATAAGTACACCCAAATGCTTTATGGCTGGTGGTGAGTTTCTTATGGAAGATCCAACAAAATTCTGTATCTGGGATGATTTCCTTCGATTAAGTAGTCTTCTTTTTGTGATTTTTTCTGGGAAATTTCTGTTCATGTTCTTCATTGTTCATCATTGTTCATCATCGTTCATCATCGTTCATCATCTGATCTGCTTGTTTTGGTTGGATACTCTTTTGGGAGTTATGAATGTTGAAATGTAAACAAGTCATCAGTCAAACTTTGCAAATAAAAGCTATCTTTTTTCTCTTTTCATTTCGTTTCATTCTTTGAATCAGTCAATAGTGTTTGATATCATATGAAGATGATGGCATTATTTTGTTCTATGCCCACTGTTCTTCTCAGCCACTCATTTTGTTAAATGAATTATGAACAAAATTATGGCAAAAAGTCATGATTGATCAAGAAAAGGAAACATAGTTTTCAAAAATCTATTGGAATTGTAAATGAACTTGAGCTCGGTTTGATAACTAATTCACGGGTTTTGCTTTGTTGGGGTCTTTCTTATTTAGGTTGTAAGGGGATGCTCGGCTTAGAATATCAACCCTTCTCTTGTTCACCAACTCTCGCCTCATTCTGTGCTTCTAGACATGTCGAGCTCCACATATTCTTGTACAGGGACAAAAGACTAATTGCGATGTGCACGAATTATTACCGGGATTACTTTAGAATTCAAGAGAGCCATTGAGCTTCAGACCACAACCATGTAGTTAGATAGGGACAATCAATCGACCAAAGAAGACAAAAATCTGTGCTGATCTTCCGCCCGAAATAATTACCTCACTTCACTTACGAAGTAGTTTGTACCACCATCCACTACTCTTGATGATGCCTCAGATAACTATGCAATTGTTTGAAAATATTGATTTTTATTTTAAATGTGTTTTTAGTTCGAGGTTGGATCGAGCCCAGTTGAGACATTTTTAAACCAACTTAATTGTTCAGAGTTTTGTAAATTTTTATTTCGAAATGTTTAAATTTTATTATTATTTTTTTAGAAATAAAAGTAAACTATTTTGTAAAACATTTATTTATTTTCGATCATTGATTTAAATTTAAACATTCATGTCCTGAACTTTTTAAAAAAAAATAATGGGTCACTGTCCATACTGTGTTATAACTGTAAATTAAATTTATTTAACTCTCTACATCAAATTAACTAGTAAGATCGAAAAATTTGAATATCTGACCTCTTAGTCAACTACTCATTCTAGAAATTTATTCATTTCAGACTACAAATTTACTTATAAGAACCTCGGACTTTAAAAAAGAAATACATATAATTTTGTTGGATGAAATTGGTTGGGTAGAAAAGAGGCAAAAACTCTGTTTCTCTCCCATTTTCCCCTGTATTTTCGCCTTCTCTTTCGCCTTCTTTTATTGTGAAAACAGACCAAAAAAACAGAGCCAAAAACGCCAAAAAAAACTCATCCAATCCCTTCTTCTTCATCATCCTCCTTTCAATTCCTCATTTCCTTGCAGAAACTAATCAATTTCTGCCATTGTTATTCGATTTCCCAGCTCCAACCAGACAAAAAACAAGACAAGATTAAAAAACAGAGCATCCCAAAATGAACAGATGAAAGCAGAGCTCCTCATTGGGTTTCATTTTCCTCTGTTTTTTTTAATGTTTTAGTCATGGTGAGAAGCTTTCCGACGGATGAGAACCCGTTAATTCATCCGGCGATTTCCCTCTCCCTTCTAGCGGCTGGGATGGCAGCCGCCATCGCTATGATCACCACCTTATGCGGTGACCGATCCCGGAAAACACCCACAGCCTCTGAAGCTTCATCTCCAACCGCCGCCGATAACAAACCAGACGAAAACGCTTCCCCGACGGTGAACCCATCCGGCGGAGAAACAGGAAACGACGGCGACGAACAGGGTGTGAAAGAACTTCCCCTGCCTCCGAAAATGCAACAGCTCGGGAGTGCGAGCCCGCCGACGCAAATTTCTAAATCGGCGTCGGAAAGGAAATTGACCCATATGAAAAGTATGAACGTTAATGTTCCGAGAAGCCTGTCGGTGGCGCGGCACAATTTAGACGATGGTCGGCATAAGAAAAAGGATAAGATTAAAGGGGAAGATTCGATTTGGACGAAGACCATAATTTTAGGGGAGAAATGCAAAGTTACAGATGAAGAAGATGGGATTATTTATGAAGGAAAAGGGAAGAAGATATCGGCGTATCATCCGAGAGCTCCGAGTTCGATGTCGACGTCGCTTTCTAGGCAGGGATCCGCCATTGATGCGGAAGCTCTGCCCAGCACAGAAGATAAGTAGATCGGAGAAGGAGATTGGTGGGCTGTGTTTGAAAATCATTGGCTAATGGAATTTGAATTTGTAAAGAATTGTTATTGTTTTGGTTACTCTGTAGAGGAATCTTTTTTTTTTTTTTTTAATTATTATATATATTTTTTTATATTCCTTTCTCTCTTAAACTTTGCTGTTCGTCGTTCTTCTTTGGTTAATTAATTAAGTTCCAAGTTTTAGCCATATTCTTGCTGTGATGTGTTCCAATGTTTTGGGAGTTTGTTGTTCTGTTTTTTTTTTTAAGTTTCAATCCTTCGATTTTAAAACGAACTCTATTTTTTCGGGTCCAACGTCACGTGTTGGGCTTTGATAGCATTTGTTAACAATCTAAGCGGGCACATTGTTTGGTGTTTGTAATATCCCTGAGCGGGTCCAGTGTCCTTGTTCGGGTTTGATGTCTGGCTCTGATATTAATCCACCCACTTGGAGTCCAGCGTCTCTTGTCGTCTGGTGCTTGGCTCTGGTAGCATTTGTAACAATCTAAGCGAGCACATTGTCCGATGTCTGACTCTAATACCATTTGTAACATCCTCGAGCAGGCCCAGTGTCTTTGTTCTTGTCCGATGTTTGACTCTGATATCAATCCACCTCCTCGGAGTCTAGCGTCTCTTGTCGTCCGGTGCCTGACTCTGATAGCATTTGTAACAATCTAAGCGGGCACACTATACGGTGTCTGACTCTAATACCGTTTGTAACATCCCCGAGAGGCCTAGTGTCTTTGTTCGTGTCCAATGTTTGGCTCTGATATCAATCCACTCCCTTGGAGTTCAGCGTCTCTTGTTGTCCGGTGCCTGACTCTGATAGCATTTGTAACAATCTAAGTGGGCACACTGTCTAGTATCTAACTCTAATACTATTTGTAAAATCCTTGAGCAAGCCCAGTGTCTTTGTTCACTTCCCGATGTCTGGCTTTGATAACAATTCACCCCCTTGGAGTCCAGTGTCTCTTGTCGTCCGGTGCCTGGTTTTGATAACATTTGATATTATGAGTAAGAATTTAAATATTTATTTAAATTAAGAAAACTAAGATTAGAAAATTTTAAAATAATAACTTAAAAAAATAGTTTCTTTAAATTTTATTGCAAATCTATACTAAAAAAGATAATTTTTTTAAAAATGTATTATGTATTTATTTAGCTAAGAATTTAAATATTTATTAAAAAAATAAAATTAATGATTAGAATTTGTAAAAAAATAAAGCATAATTTTGAATAAAAAAGAATAAAATAAAATTAAGGAAAAAATTATTGTATCACGGCGGGAAAAAACCCCTGTAGGATTAGTAAATGACCAAAAAGACCCACCAACACATGCGTGAACCAAGCAGCACTCAGGGTTATAGTCGTCATTATGAATTTTTCAGCCTCATCTTCCCGCCATCAGAAATCCCCAGATTTTCATCGATTCGATAAAGTCCTCTGGACTAAACCAAAATCCATTTTCAGGCATCGAATTCTTGCAGTTCATACAGAGTCCGGACATGGCAGAAGAGGAACCCGGAGAGGCTATCCGGCCGGAATTTCCGATGGGGCGAATAAAGAAGATAATGAAGCTGGACAAGGACATTGGTAAAGTGAATTCAGAAGCGCTGTTTTTAGTCTCATGCGCCACTGAGCTTTTCCTCGAGCTTCTCGCTGAAAAATCTTCCGAAGTCGCCGCCGAGAAGAAACGGAAGACCGTGAAGCTTGAACACATCCGAATCGCCGTCAAAAGGCATCAATCGATCGGTGATTTTCTCCTCGATTCGCTTCCTCTTCCTTCTCAGCCGTCAGATGCTCCGGCGAAGGACGAGAATCGCACTCGCGTTGTCGTTGATAAAGTGGCTCCTGAAGGAACCCGCCGAATCGATGATTTCTTTCGCCGGCCAGAGAAGACAGCGTCCGCGGAGACCAACGAGACATAGGCGCTCAATCTTCGACAGGCAAAAGCTCTCAAGCACATTTTCTGGATTACTTTTTGGCGTTTTTATGTTTGCGAGCAAGTCCATATTTTATCATTAGATGAGCAATCTTGTTTGTTACTGAACATTACTTGATAAATATTATCCTGTTCATTTCAAGAATTTTCCATCTAAATATCGCATAAGAAGGGGAAAATTCAAAACTATTGAGTACTGAATAGATGAATTTGATACAATTTAGACAATCAAAATGAGTAGTGGTCGACTTGCACTCTCTTTGTATAAGCGTTATTTTTAGGACCTACATGAGGTTTGTACAGGAAAAATTAATTGGAATGAACAAGAAACTCAAAGATAGAATAACTACTCGAGTATCTTCTCTATCTTCAGTCAAGACATAAGCTAATTTGCAGGCTAGAATGGTTCTCTCAAACTTTATTCTGTGGGATTATCTTATTGAATGACATTTGAACTTGAAGTCATGTAGTGAGCTCTAAGGAGATATTGGGCCTGAAAATGTGGATACCACCGAAGCTGTTTCATCTCTGACCCGAGAATCGAGGTTGTGTCGACGAGCTATATTTTGTCCAGGTGATTTTTTCGCTTCCTTTATGAAAGAGATGCCTTGAGTTGCTGAATTTATGTTGTTTGAACCAAATTGCAGGATTCCTTGAGAAAGCCTTCTGTTCAAAGCTATGGCATTGCTATAACCTCCATTAATGCTAGCATTTGAAAGACGCCGACTGCTGGTGCTTGGCCTTGGTCCATAGAAGCTTTCTGGCTCGATTAGAATATGAGTTTGCACTTTTTTCTTCTCCTGCCAGAAGAAAACCATCATTAAAACCAACCTACCAACAGATGGTAAATTATTTTGCAGCAGAGTAGATCAAATTATTGTTGAGGATTGTGTTGAGAATGGTTGGGAGGGAGTCCCACATTGGCTAATTAAGGGGATGATCATGGGTTTATAAGTAAGAAATACATCTCCATTAGAATGAGGCTATTTGAGGAAACCAAAAGCAAAGCCATGAGAGGTTATGCTCAAAGTGAACAATATCATACCATTGTGGAGGGTCGTGGTTTCTAATATGGTATCAGAGTCATGCTCTTAGCTTAGTCTTGTCAATAGAATCCTCAAGTGTCGAACGAAGAAGTTGTGAGCTTCGAAGGTGTAGTCAAAAGTGACTCAAGTGTCGAACAAAGGGTGTACTTTGTTCAAGGGCTCTAGAGAAGGAGTCGAGCCTCGAAGGTGTAGTCAAAAGTGACTCAAGTGTCGAACAAAAGGTGTACTTTGTTCAATGACTCTAGAGAAAGAGTCAAGCCTCAATCAAGGGGAGGCTATTCGAGGGTTCCATAGACCTCATGGGAGGCTCTATGGTGTACTTTATTCGAGGGGAGGATTGTTGAGGATTATTGGGAGGGAGTCCCACATTGGCTAATTAAGGGGAGGATGATCATGGGTAATAGACAATATCATACCATTGTGGAGGGTCGTGATTCCTAAAAACTATGTGATATGATTATGGGGGAAAGGAGAGTTCCGCTCTCAACATGTTGTTAAATTCATATTTAAAAGAAACATTATACTTACCCTTGGTCTCCTCTTCTCCTCTTTTTCCTGTCTCAGGGCATTATATTCCTCCAACAATTCTAGCAATGGCACCTGAAAATAGGACACATGTTTGTCCGTGATTAACAGATAACTTGGTATTCTTAGCAAGGTGGGAGAAACAAAGAAGAAACACTACTTTTTATGGGAAAGCATGGATGCTCTACATGCTTAAGTTTTGGCAGTTCTGTGTATCTACTACATCTATTCTATTTGAAATTGCCCGGGAAGGTACTTCAATTGGTTTATCTGCTTTTAATTTTCTTTTTCTACCTCGAATATCTGACCCTTTTAGGCGCTTTTGGAAGATCATTTATAAAATTTAGAATCGTTCTCTCGAACGATGATTAGCACATGACAACAGCAGCATTGTTGCAGGTAATTATATAGCTTACCTCATCATACAAGAACACTTTACTTCTTTCTGCCTCCCAACTCCTAGTCTTTTCCAAAAGCAATTCCACCAAAGCTGCAGTTTACGTCATTTTCAAAAGGAGAGAGATAATCAAGTCATTTAAAATCCTAGTAATATGTTCAAATATCAAGATGCTCACATGTCTTTGGTGTGGAAAGATATTGAACTAAAATATGGTCTGGCAATTTTAAGACATCCCATCTTTAAAGCCTTCTTTGCAGTTCATTGAAATTATTGCTGATATTACCTGGAATTTTGTTGACTGCTATTCTTGCTCGTTCTGCGCGCCTAAGATTTTTGTGAGCACCTCTGCTGACTGAGTATCGGCTTTGATCCTGAATGCTCAATTCTATAATTAATATTTAGGATTAAGATTGCAGTCAAGTAGTTGTCTTTTATAGCTTGTAGGAAATTACCAACCATGTTATATTCTTCCAACCAGCGCTCTTCATCACATGTTAACATCCATTTCTCAACTTTCTCCATTATAGTCTTCCTGCTAGATGCTTCTTCTTTTGCTCTTGATATTTGTTCATCCATGCTTGTGAGGAGATTGGCATGATCAATTTCCCCTTTTGCAGTACATAGAAGTCAGTTTCTGGATTACTATAGATTTTCATAAAGTACATGATATTCTCGTAACATTAATGCCATTACACAATGTACCAGAATGAATTAGATTTATTATTTTTTCCATTCCCGATCTTGAAGGTATCACCATATGCGATTTGTTACATATATCTTCCAGCTCCATCTGTTTCTTGATAAATAGCTCTTTCATCTTGCTTGCTTTTAGTTGATCAAGTCTCTTGACTTCAGCCTCAGCCTTGAAATGTTTATTCACATAATTAGCACCTAATTCATTAAATCTTCTATTTACCTTTATCACACGTGTCTAGTACCTGCTCAATTATGTATAACGCAAGGCTCCCAGGATCAGATATTTCAGGTGATGAGAATGATAATAGACGAATTACATGGGAAAACAATCGGCGATCGCTGTAAGGTGAATCCATAAGTTCCCATAAGTTTGTCAATGTTTTTCCTAGATTGTGAAGCTGCAGAAAACATTGCAGAAATTTATCAAATATTGTTTTGTTTACAGTATTGGAGAACTTGGCATTTGTAGATTTAAGCCGCTTGTTTAAATGTAGGCATTCTGTAACTGTTGGTTTCACCTGGTTCTGATGACTTTTATTCTTTTGATACAACAGTAACAGCTGTGTTTTACTAGGCTGTGATGATTTTGTGCTTCTGATACCCATAACAATTATGCTAGTGTAGTGATCAGATTAAGCTCTAGCAGTCAAACATTTTGATTTTGGGATGTAGCATAATTATGTTGTTTGGCAAGTACAAGTTTCATCACCTTTTCAAGCCGTTGCTGCTTTTCTTCTTTGAGAGATTCTACCGTGCCTTTAAGTTTCTCTAAAATGGAATCGCTAATGTTCTTTGATCTTCCAAATGGGTCGTCCAAGCTTGGATGAATCTTGGTGATAATCGTGGAAGCATCCATCCCCAATGTTGCAGACAATTTGTGGACTGTGTCTATATATTTCTCCACTCTCTGAAGCCTTTCATTCTGTCCAAAGAAAATCGACAAGAATCGGTATGTAAACGAAGTTAGAAGTCGAAATATTGTGTTGTATGTGTGTGCATGTCCATTTACAGTAGGATCATAATGTAACCTTTTCACTGTGAAGTCTCTGTAATTCATTCTGATATTCCTCAAGTTTCGTCATAGAAAGATCGGTCTTATTCTCTACGACAACTCGAGACGAATCAACATTCTCTGCTTTACCTTCTATTTCAGCAGAAATTTTCTGAATTTGTACTTGTATGGCACTTAACTGTTTCATCCTCTCTTCTTTTCTCAGCCGCATCTCTCTCAGAGCTGGAGTTACTGAATCAAGCTGCTCTTTCAAAGTTCCCGCCATCTTTTCTGGCTGATCAGACACGTCCAATCAACACATACAATTGGGTAAGAACTTGCAAATTACATATAAAAATGATTGATGTTATGATTATATTATGATAGTTGAAGAAATCATTGCGTACCCTTCCAGGAAGAGAGCGTTCTCCAAGGGACAACAGAAGATGGGTAAACTCAGCCTCTGCTTCTGCAAGTTCCTGATGAAGTCGAGCTCGTGACACATTTGCATCATCAACTTTTCTCCGGTAAACTTCTAGACACTCCTGTTCCAAATCCAGAAGAACCTTCTCTCTGTCAAACTGGTCTTCCCCCACTTCGTCCCAAATCATCTGTTATCATTATGTTACTTAAGTCAATGCCACTGATACTATATGCCCAACTAAACAAATAAATAGAGGAAGAACAAACAAACTCCATATCCATGCCTGCAACTCCTGAAGTAGATATCCACATGAAGTTTCAAGCATAGTGGAACTTCGCGTCCCAATTGGAGTTTGAAATGAAGCCATCTTTTTCTCAGAACTTTGGATTGGAGTGTTTTCCCAAACCCCAAGCCTGCAAAGTTTGAGCTAATCAACAGAAAGTGCAGGAAAAGCTGGAAATGGGTTGGAAAAAGAGAGAGAGAAAGCCTGAGAGAGAGAGAGAGGTGGGTTTTAGTTTTTGCTTAAACGATAAGCGTAGGCTGTATGTTAGGGAGGGTGGGTATAGTGCGCTTTGTGTATGCTTTAGTTTCAAGGATCGCCATTTATCTTTCTTCAGCTTTATCCCCCCTTTCCCTTCTCCCTGCTCCATCATTTCTTCTTCCATTTTATGAACCATTAAGACAGCAACTCCCCGTCTTCCTCCATTAATAAGATGGCCTCTCTTATTCCAGGTTCTCTCCCCTGCTCCACAGCCTACCCCCCCTCAAGTAGCTCTTTCAGACCTTGATTCTCAAGCAATCCTCATTTGGTTCTGTATACAAAACTAGCCATAAATGAACGAAATAGTAGCTTGGTTCTTATTGAAGCTATGACTCCAACAATTTTTTTTGGCTAAAAAGTAAAAGCATTGTCTTACGACATGCAACTAGAGGATATCTAATGTTGTTGGGTATACTCTGACTTAGACTACATGCCATTTTGTTTGCTGCAAAAACAAGATTTTAGCTTCCTCAATGTTCTAATTATAGGTTTGTTTGTTTGTTTGTCCAAACCTTTTTCTGCCTTTTTTAGGAAAGAAAAATAATGTTTGTTACTTGTTCTTTTCTTTCTTATCAGAGTTTATCTTATCTTCTGGAAGAAGGCTGAATGAAAGTAGGGCCGGAGAGAGGTTAGGGGATACCAAGAGTGTGAAGGACTCAATGAATTGATTGATAAAGACATTGGCGTTAGTGGCTTCATATTGCTTGAAGAACTTAGAAGATAGAACTGAAACCAACGAATTGGCCCCTAAAAGATGTTGCTTCCTCAATGGGTATTGTTAAAATATTGAACAGGTTGAATATACTTCAAATTTTTCAGGCTCTTTCCAATTTGATCCCTAACTATTTAAAATTTCAATTTTGCCCTAATGTTCTGCTAATTATCAATTTGGACTTCTAAAAAACCTTATTGAAACTAGTTATTAAATTAATGTATTATTGACGTAAATAACTAAAATTGTATCTAATTTTTATTACCATTTCAGAAACTCAATGAGATTGTAGATTTCCTTATTTGATGTTCTCAACCATTTGATATAAACGTTGGAATTACTATACTTCGAACTTAAATACTTTTGCTTTTTGAATTTTTTGTATAAATAAATGTAACGGCTCAAGTTTACCGTTAATAGATATTATCTGGTTTATCTTGTTACGTATCACCGTCAGACTCATGATTTTAAAATGTTGTCCTGTTATGTATTGCTGTTAGACTCACGACTTTAAAATATGTCAACTGGAGAGAGGTTTCTACACCCTTGTAAATAATGTTTTGTTCCCTTTCCTACCCATGTGTGATTTCAGTGTCGTTTGATACCATTTGTAACAGCCCAACCTCCAAGCCCACCACCACCACTAATAGATATTGTCCGCTTTGTCCCATTATATATTGCTGCTCATTTTTAAAACGTGAAAGGTTTCCACACCCTTTGTAAGAAATGTTTTATTTCCCTCTCCAATGATCTCACAATAAAAATTTGTCTTATGCTCATTTTTTTTACGGAAACCCACCCCTTATACATATTTCATTTTATCTTTTTAATTTACTAAACCGAGAGTAATTCCTGGAATATCCGCTCCAGTCCTTACAAAAAAAAAATTCCGAAAATTTTCTGTCCCCGTGCTTACATGCTGTTATTTGAGCTTATGAAATGGTTGATACTAGATTTTAGCATCCACCCAACAGTCACACTTAGTAATTTAAATGCAAAATGAAGATGAACAGCGTAATGATGCCAACATTTTTCTACCTAAGCAAAAGATTCCATTTCACTATGTAAGAATTGCGAGAATACAATATCTACTACCGTTTTGGATCTTAGGACAGTACCATGATCCAAGCAATGAAAATACAAGGGAATTCCTATTACAGGCAGGCAGCCCAATAACAAAATCGCCAAAAATTCTCAACCCGTCTGTACAAGCCTCCACAATTAGAACACACTAAAGTGACTCTAAATTCTCTTTAACAACGTGAAAATTACAACTCAATATCAATCGACTATTAGAACCGTGACTAGTACCTAGTTTCGTATCGAACCAAGCTGGAGATGTCGAAGATTATTGAAATCAGCACATGACAAGTGCAAAAATTATGATTTCCTAGGAGTTGTTAGGGAGATGAGAGTTTAGAATGCTGGACCTGGAAAAATAGAACTCCAGTGTTCATCTTCTTCACCACCAATCCTGGATTTTCAAACGTCTGCTTCGGTGAACGGTGAGTTTAACCCCGGGAAGCTTGTGCTTCACCTGTCTCCATAACATATTGACAGCATCTTCCTTCTTAGGAGGGTACTGAAATTCATAGTGGTGGGAGATACCCTTTAGTTGCTTCCACATTTCAATCCATCTCTCTTTAGGGAATTGCCTGAGTTTATCAACCATGTAACCAGGCTGCAGTGCCTCTTCGAAGGAGAAAAACAATGCAAATCGACTGTAGTCGATTTCATCTTCGTATGGCAGCTCTATTTGATCACTTACGATCACGGGAACACAGTGGCTCACAATAGCATCAAATAACCGGCAAGACGATGGAGTGTCTCCGGCGGGATGCAGACAGAACTTTGATGACCGCATCCCTTGAGAAGACTGGAGTATCAGAAGAAGAGAACAGAATGAGATACTCAGGATTCTTTACCATAAAACCTTACGCAGCTGTATACCTATGAGTAAGGGACATACAAAGAAACTAGGTTCCTAGACACCCGAAGAACAGAAATTATAAATGTAAAATTCATCCAAGTATTACAAAGTTAATCTTGTTTCTTGGACCCCTAATATTGTCTTTCCTTACCATCCAAAACTGCCCCAAGGAGAACCAACATGTAAGTTTGCGTGAGTATTTACGCAACGCTTTTAGATGAGAGGAGTATGGGATATTGATTCAAAGCATACAAAAAAATAAAATAAAACAAGAATTTTGGATAAGAAATAGGTTTGGATGTGTGGTCTGGTTAAGGTATATGATATAGTTACTGAATTTAAACCAGCAGAGTAGAATGCGACAAAGTTTTCCCATACGAATAGTCAAATAGAACATATTTAGCAAACACGCACACCGTACCGTTTTTATGCTTTTCTCATTTGCAGCGCTACGTTCATAGTGAATATCATCATAGCCGCCTAATATCTTTGCCAGTCTGACACGTATAATGCCATCCTGAAACATGTTTAACAAATTCAGTTACTAACAATTCCATGTCAAAACGCAAGTTCTACTTCCCCCATTTTAGAATGGGAGGGTATGACCAGTCATGAAACTTCAGTCGACTTACATCTTTTCTAAACGTCTTTCCCTGAAAGAAGAGTAGTGTCGGGCGAGACTCATATGGGTCTGGAGGGTCATCATCAACGAAAGAACTCACAACATGCACATATGGAGCTACCACATCTTTGCGCAAATTTGACATGGCTCTTGGATAGCGGCCAAAATCCACAACAATTTGAATTGAGGCGTTCACCTGGTTTCGGAGAAACCTGAAGGCATTAGGATGTGTCATGGGAATGACATGGTCTCTGCCCTTAGACCTCTGCCAATACTTGGATTCGCTCAAGAATTTCATGAGTTCAATCTGAGGAAACATTAGTCAAATGATCAAAATCAATCAACTGGCTGAAGTAGAGTTTCATGTAACTTTCTCTTCAACGCTCTCAAAACTAAGAATATAATATTTGAAATACAGGAAACCTAATATTGAGACTAATTAGATGCTGACAATCAGAAGAATACAATTCAAAGTAAACCCATATCAATAAATCTGAGATAAGAATTCAAACAAATGTTTCAAACATCGTGATCAGATGAACCAGTTTCCTAAATAGTGGACGTGTAGATCCATGAGTTCATTACAAGTCAACGACTGAAGTTTAGTTAGTGCGATGGATTAATGAGAAGTGGGAAATTGACAAGCTTGCAACCACGAGATTGACACTAAACTAACATGTCTATCCCTGGATCTGCAAATTCACTCGGTCTGAGATTGATAAACTGGATCGAATTCAATTCTAAGAACACTATAGAACTTCCCCCCTTTCTACATCTACTTTACCCGCCACTAAGCAGTTGTCTGAAGAGTAAATGGAAAATTGAACATTATCACAATCCAAAAACTGCGATAGAATCAGTTAAACGTAGCAAAATCAATTTGAAACCTACTAGACACGCTACAGTCAAATAATTCAATGCCTTCGAGGATCATATTAGAATCCCGCTTGGAAAAGCCCTCCCAAACCCAAGGATGTGAAGTGAAATACAGAACATTGCGGGGTCTAAACAAGAAATTAGAAAATTACAGAGTTCCAGAAGAGCCACAAACTTAAATCTGTACAATTAACTGCAAGGTACCTGCAATTGGTGATCAACCTCCGTAGCCGGATCGGTCATATTGCGTCCATGTGAATTAAAACTCAACGAAGAAAAAAACGGCACAAAGAAGGCATCCGCATTCTCCGGATCCATCACTCTAACTGCATCTCTGCCATCCCCACTACCTTCGTGTAAAAGCGAACCCATCATCCAGTACTCCACACTATGCTGCCGCTTCAACCCCGAGTTTCTGGGCCATGGAGGCCAAGTGGATGCGGTGACTGGAGTCTGGTCCAAGTTCCGGCGATTGAGTATGCCTACATTGAAGCGACGGGGAAGGTCGTACATGTAGACTCTGAGAGGAGGGTCGGCGGCACAGGGGAAGGAAGAAATTGGCTGAGACTGAAGCAGAGGGAAGAAGTACGATCTGATGTCGACGGTTCCGACGAGAATCGAACAAGAAATGAAGAAGATAACAGAGAAAATGAGGAAGAAAATAGCTTTCCGATACATTTTCAGAGATCGTCGGCCACAATTTCTCTCTCAACCGTGTTCTTCCAACTTCTAACCAAGCGGTTATTTCCTCCGTTGCGTTGAAAATACGAAACGAATTATTATTCATTTCGATTTATAATTAAAATTAAATTAAATAAAAATATCTCTATCTACAAATTTCAATAATACCTAAACTATACAAAATTTAAAATACATTTTTATTTTAAAAATTTCTTTAATTTCATTTTTTTTAAATAAAAATTACTCGAGGTATTTTGGGATGAAGTTGGCTCTAAATACTGTAATTAAAACTGTGAGACTGACGAAGATATGTAACGGACAAGAGTGGACAATATCTGTTGGCGGTGAGTTTAAACCGTTGGATCTGCTCAATAGTTCATCTCTTTCTTTACATTTCTTGACCAATTCTCGAGCAAAACATTAAATAGAAATTTCTCACAAAGACGGTTAAGCCAACGTTCTAATCTTACGTAAGTAATGGGCTATCTATATAATAATAATAATAATAATAATAATAAAAATAAAAATAATAATAATAATAATAATAATAATAATAATAGACTACTTACTGCCCTTAATAATAATAATAATAAACAGTCTATTATTATTTTATTATTATTATTATTATTATTATTATTATCACGGTTCTAAGATACTTTCCGCTCTCGATCTGGTATCGCTACCATTTGACAGGAAGAAAAGTTATATATTTCATCTCAAGCTTACTCGTGTTGTCCTATCGTTCTTGTATCATTTTCCCTCTCAATCCCGTATTGTCTACACTGTTTCTTGTGTTATTGTTCCTCCGTTGGTGCTCTCGTTCATAGTGTTTATGAATAGGACGAAAAAAAAGTTGAATGAATCTCGTTGAAAACTTTTACCTTTTTGCCCATAGAACGAGAAAACGAGAGATAAAACGAGAGAGAATAGAGTGTGAAAGGGCAAGCGAGAGGAAACGACTTAACATGCAATTACTAAAATCATAAACCAAACGTCCTATATTGATCACAATCAAAATCGCATGACTGATTTAAACGGCTACGATTAAATCAACACGCATCTCCAAAATAGACGCGTAGCACAGAATAACCCTTCCACATTCCCATTGATACGGCGTCGTTTTTATCAGCTCTTAAACGATGATCAGCGCGTAATCTTTGATCTTAATCACTGTGTCGCGTATAAATACAACGGCACGAAGAAATTGGAGTATACGAATAGTTCATAGTGCCACTGTCGCGCCAATTTTGCAGAGTTCGGATTCAGATCGTCGAGCTGGTGAAGATGGCGTTCGGATTAAATTCTGATGATGTGACTGCCTTTAAGCTATTGCTTTGTTTAGCTGTTATGTATGGCCTCATGTCGATGCTGGCTCACTCCATTGTTCACATGAAGTTTGTTAAGCCGCTTGCAATTGATGCGCCTCTTGATCGATTCTCTGAAGCCAGAGCGGTCGAGCATGTAAGATTTTTGTCTCAAGAGATCGACGGTCGCCAGGTAGTCGGCGTTCGCGTGCATTTTACTTGGTGTTTACCATGAAACTTCATTTCATATGATAATTTGAGCGTTTTTCAGTTTGGTTACTGGAAATGCATGCTAGGGAAGAAACCTGCGATATGTTTGTCATTTTTTATGAGTAAACAGCTTGATTTGGTCTTTAAGAAATTGCTTTTGGGTATGTTTGTGTTTCTTGTCTTTGTAGGAGGGACGTCCTGGTCTTAGAGAAGCTGCTCGGTATATAAACGGGCAGTTGGAGATGATGAAGGAGCGTGCTAGTGATGACTTTCGGTCAGTGTAGTTTCTCATGTCGGCTAACGAAGCTATTTAATTTTAAATTGTTTCTATTGTTCTAAACTGAGGAAAAGGTCGCTATGTTATACTTGCATGCGCTTCTTGTTAGTTGAAGTTTGATTTCTGTATTGATGAAGTTGTTTATGACTCAGAATCGAGATCGAGGAGACAGTTGTTGATGGTTCCTTTAGTATGATGTTTCTGGGCCACAGCATATCACTGGGATATCGAAACCACACTAATATCTTAATGAGGTAGAGTTGAGATTTAATTTTTAAATTTGTAATTGGCATGGGAACAGATCTCTTACTCTCTGAACGAAAAAGAAAAAGAGTACGTGATATGGGATCAATAGTTCATGTATGTTGATTCATGTTCCAGCTTTTGAATAACAAAGTATTATAGCTTATTACTGATTTGCAAGGACTTCACTCTTGATGGATGACAGAATTTCATCAGTAGATTCTCGAGACACCGACCCGTCAGTTCTAATAAATGGTCATTTTGATAGTCCGCTTGGATCGCCGGGTGCTGGTGATTGTGGCACATGTGTGGGTGGGTATTGGAAAACCTTTGTCAAAGAAGAGTAACATAGCATTCTTTTGATTGATCATGACACTCTCTTATCATATATTTCACTGTTACAGCATCTATGCTAGAAGTGGCTAGGCTTATTGTAGACTCTGGATGGGTTCCTCCTCGTCCTGTTATTTTTCTTTTCAACGGTGCAGAAGAGCTATTTTTGTTGGTAGGGATTCGGTTCTTTGTTCTTACTGAGAAATAAACCTGTAACTTTTCCCTATTATTTTAATTTGCGGCAGCATTCATGATTATAATTTTTTGTGCTTTAGATGTAGGCATAATACAAGAGAGAGTAGTTTCTTTTTCTTCTTCCTCTGTTTGCTTGTTTAGATGCGGCAAAATGATGGCTGTTTCAAAGCATTTTGATTTGAACTTCTTTCAAACATACGCTAGAAGTTCATGTGGGGCTTTATCTTTGTTCAGACATTATGAAACAACCCTTCTGTCTTGATCTGGCAACTTGCGGTTTTCGCTAGTTGACAGGAAGCATTTGACTAAAACTGTTTAATGTTTTAGGGCTCACATGGATTTATGGAGAAACATAGATGGCATGATACAATTGGAGCTTTTGTAAACGTCGAAGCATCTGGTACTGGAGGTTTAGGTAAGAACTAATTCCTATTGATTGCTATGGTACTAGAAATCCGGAAGTTCTGTCCGTTTATAGGTAAGTTTCAGATTTTAAGAAAATTGGCTACAAAATGACTTTTTTTCCAGCAATTGAACTTGAAGAAAATAGATTACTTCCAAAAAAAATAATGTAAATGATGCTTGAATTATGAGTTTTCCTCTAAATATTTGGACTTTCAAAATTGTTAGAGTGGTTCATGTTGACTCAATTTTTTTTTTACGCCCTTGTATCCTTTTATTATTTCTCAACGAAAGTTCAATTTATCATAAAAAAAAAAAGAGAGAGAAACTTAACGTTTTTTTCTTGTAAAAAATAATTAAACTTCAATGTATCTTGTATGTTATGCCACACAATTGGTATTCTAATTTGGTCATTTTCAAAAATAGATTTAGTTTGTCAATCTGGACCCGGCTCCTGGCCTTCGCGTGTTTATGCTCAGTCTGCTGTGTACCCCATGGCTCATAGTGCTGCTCAGGTTCTTCTTCAACTTTTATTCTTCTCCAGTTTTGTATTGCGAGAATCTTAGGTTCAAATTATGTTACTTGTTTGTTTACATCCCCAGACATATCCATAAATACATTGTTGAGGCAATAGATTGTTATTTTCATATTTTTACAACTAAATCAAATGTCTTCCTTTGTATTTGAGGCTGTGTATCCAGTTATGAAACTGCTGTATTTTTCATCTGAATACTGTTTATCAGATTTTCTAATTGGTATGCAGGATGTGTTTCCAGTTATTCCCGGAGATACAGATTATAGGATATTTTCTCAGGATAACGGCAACATACCTGGCCTTGATATTATCTTTCTTTTTGGTGGTTACTTTTACCATACCTCATATGATACAGTGGAGAGACTATTGTATGCATTACATCTGCTGTTTTGGTACAGATACATGATTTGGATTTTCATATATCTTTATTCTTCAATTTTTTCTGAGACATTCAATTGCCTATAATAGACCTGGGAGCATCCAAGCACGAGGAGAAAATTTGTTCAGCATAATAAAGGGCTTTACGAATTCTTCGATGCTTCAAAACTTTTATAAGCAAGCATCTCCTGAAATTATTATCCATCAGGACAAAGACGATGGGGCTATTTTCTTTGATTATCTCTCATGGTTTATGGTATGCTTTGAATATTGTTACACTTTGGTTGTTTTACGAGTATGAACTTAATGATTGCTGTTACTAGCGATGAATTTTAGGTCTTCTATTCTAGTGGGCTAGCTCTGGTACTTCACAAAATTCCAATAGCTGTCTTCCTAATACTGCCATTCCTTTTGAACTTACGGAATTTTAGCATAACTTCATGCTTGGCAACATTTTCTGATTTGACTAAAGGTAAAATAATTTCTGCTCACGTTTTTTCATTATAGAACTTCTTCAACTGCTCCTCTACTTTGCTTTTCTATTATACGTCAATTTTAATGGTTGATTTTTCATTTTGCATAAAATTTAAAGTTTATGGTGAAAGCATGCGAAAATTGTGCTCATTGAATCACCCCCGTATATTTTTTGATCTTCAGGTTTTTTGTCTCATGCCTTGGGGGTTTTTCTTGCAATTGTTTCTCCAGTTATGTTTTCCATCCTAAGATTGCTGTTCACCAACTATTCCATGAACTGGTGAGTATTTTCTCTGTTTACTTGTCTATTAGCTTCTATCTATCTCTTATATTAATACACAGATGTGGATGCAGATATATTATGGTTTGTGTTTATAAGTAGTATAATAAATTTCACTACTGTTGCTATGGTATCAAAGGAGAACAAATAACTCTCGGAGGACCTTTCTGGTGGCCATAGTCTGATTTGATGCCACTGAAGCAATTTTTATATGCTCATAGACATTTTTAACCTGAATGCAGGTTTTCACATCCATACTTGGCTTATTTGATGTTCGTCCCGTGCTCACTAGTTGGTCTATTGATTCCTAGAACTTTTTGGAGTTGCTTCCCTCTCTCCCAAGATATTTCGGTTTTTCAGGCCTCAAGAAAGGTGAAATTCTACTTTTAACAAGTTTACCTGTTAATCACATCTTATGCTTAAGAACTCTGGTTATTGGTTTTTTTCTCTTTCTGGTTGCTGGATATAATTGACTATCAATGAGCTCATCCACATTCTTCTTCCTTCATTAGACTTTGTCATCGTTTCAACCGAATGGTAAATATCAGGCTAAAATTTGTTGAGATATTGTAGTAATACTTTCCACTAAATTATTTGCTTAAAAATTTGTGTTTAAAATGCTGGGTATTTCCTGCATCAGTGAGAGTTTAGTTTATATCAGAATCAGCAAAGCAAATATTCTTTATTTTTTTTAATATTTAAGTTTATCAATTGAGTAATCAGTAAATGTGAAGTGTACAGCTAGTGCAACAATATGAAACAAGAGTCAACTGGTTTTGCGTCTGTATCCTTAATATATCTCACTAGTCATTTAGTCCATGGGCTTACGGAAGTTGGATCTATACGATGGATATGCTACTAGGATTTCCTTCAATGCAGAAAATCTATTCATTTCATTTCTTTTCTTCGGACACTGCTCGAAATTTCTTGATTCCGTCTTGATGTGATTACATTGCAGTTTCATTAGGAAGGGGAGCTTTCTCAAAAGTGTATTGTTATAGAGGGTAATATATTGGATGTACATGCACTTATGCATGCATGCTTATATGGTGGCCCCTTGTTCCATGCATGAATAGACATGCAAGTTTTGTTAAGTTCATTCTAAAAATATCACTAGTCCATCATCTTCTTTATGTTAGTTGGCTTATGAATTCTATGAAATTTGACAATTTGGTGCACCTATTTTGTCTTTACTTTTTTTGGTTGAACTGAAAAGCTCTGTACTATATGTGCAATCTTTGAATGCTCATTTTGGTTTCTTACTTGACAATTTTTAAAGAAAATTTTTAAAGCTGAGGGGCAGGTAATGTAAGTGTAACATCAATCATACTAACATCACATACCCCATGTGACTTGTCAATGCCTAATTTGACATTTCAATCTCACAGGTGTTGTCTGATGAAGCAAGGTTTTGGGGCGCATTTGGATTCTTTTCCAGTTTGACAATGGTATGTTGAATGCTATGGTCTATAGGGTAATTGTTTCACCATAATGAACGGTTGTATAATGGAAGAATTAGTATTAATATTATTGTTATTGTAGTCAATATTTTTTAGTATCAAAGTTTTGATTGCTCAAAGCAGTTTCCTAAATGCAGGCGTATCTTTTAGCAGGGCTTAGTGGTGGCTTCTTGACCTTCTTTGCGTGCATTTCTATGCTTGCTGCCTGGTTGTCATTTTCCTTGGCAGCTAAACATTATGGCCGCAGGTCTCTCAGGTTGTAATTTGCACATTGCGGCTCTAAATTATGACTTTTTGATGCTAATGATATGATTTCTGAGAAAAAGGTTTCTACCTGATGTTTTTGGAATAATTTGATTATAACCTTCCTCTATGATCATTTTCCTGTCAGATGGAAGTAATTTTAATGGCGTGAAAATGATATTTCTGGAAAATGATATTTCTGAGAACAGTTTCTTATCTGTTAGGTCAATATTATTTTTCGTGTTACCAATGGTTCCATACCTTGCGTACTCTGTTTATTTTGGAGGCTTCCTTGCCCAATTTTTAATTGAGAAGACAGGCATGATGGGTTCTATTCCTCCTCCATATGGTTAGTATCCCGAACTGGAATATTTTTCCATCCATATCTAGTTCAGCTTCTCCTTTCCATTTCTGTTACTTGGCTGACCGAAATAGTTTTGATGCACGAAGGCATGTGTGATTTCTAAGTGTGATGCCCAATCAACAGTTTTCATATCTTATTAACTGAGAGATGCCCACCACTTTTTCACGTGTTACCTGGGAGGAGAAACCTTGTAAAATGATCAAGAAATGAGAACGCTATTTTTAATTCCACCACTCCTATAAGTTATTAACAGCTTTTTTTTAAATTCCAATTTCTGTAATTAGAGTCTTCAGATTGTTATTTTCTCAATATTGATGTACTTTCACAAAATTTTTGCAACCAACAGCATTGAACTTTGTTCGTTGTTATCTGCAATTTCTAGTTATGTTTTTTTTATTACTTTTTGTGTGTTCTGGGTATGTGTGTTTGGGTTGGGATGATCAGGAACTCCAACTGAAGAGTTTTTTGTAGTTTTTTTACTGTGTACATTGACGTCTTATCTTGTAAGCTTATTTTTTATTAGCTGGAACTTTTCTACTATGCATTGTATGCTAAAGATGCATTCTCTAAATTTGTCCGGTTATCCTAATTATCACTGGAAATTTTTATAGTGACCAAACTATTCTTGCAGGGTATTTCATTCCAGATATTGTAGTGGCAGTTACTATTGGAGTTGTAACTAGTGTGTGCATTGGCCCTCTAATTCCAGTTTGTGGACACTGGCTAGCAATGTCATCCATCTTGCAATTCTTGTTGCAGATTATTGTAATTGGGTTGGCTGTTTCCTCGCAGTTCTTTCCATATAGTATGGCTGCTCCAAAGAGGGTAGTTCTTCAGCAGACATACCGTACTTCAGGTATTAAGACTAAAGATTGATGACAAAATCTGATGAATACATGGTGCACGCAAACATTCTTTTAGAATTTTGATGAGGTGCAATGACCGGAATTGCACACTATGAATTCTAAGAATGAATCAGAGTAGCACCCATACTCCTTTGTATAGGAAAATTTTCCCCCATGATATAATGCCTTTTCTTTCCTTAACTCTGACTTAACTACAGTATGTGCATGTGTTCAAGTTTTTGGGAGTTGGAAACCAGTATTTAAGATCCTTCGTCCACTGTACTTTCTACTTGATCTATGTTGATTTACTTGAATGTTGTAGATGTTAAGTGAACAGGTTCAAGAAGTTTATATACTTCAGTGGTAACATTTCTGTTCAAAATTTTAACAAAACATCTAACTTCTAAATATCAGCAATCTATAACTCTCACCCTTAGAGTAGGATGTGTTTTTCCTTCCTCTTCTCAAATGTTATATTGACAAGAAATTGTTGCTTCTAGCTTCTCTGAATCGGCACTATATTTTTTCACAGGTCCGAATCATCTTGAGAACTCCAGTTATGAACTCTCTGTGGTGGATTCTAATTCTCTAATTTTTCTTTTGAAACATGCTCCCGATGTGGCAAACGAATTGCAGACAGATTTAGATCTGTCTTTTGAAACTGCAAATTTGTCTCGCCAAGAGAACTGGCTGGTATGCTGCTGTACTATAGAAATGAATACTATCTTCAGTTTTTCAGGAATTTTTCTTTCACACGTCTGAAATTATATTGAAATTAGATTGATTCAAACCCAATAGCAGTTACACAGCACCCAAATGGGGGTCAAATGCACTGATGCTTGGGGGTATCATTTTTTCCATCTATTTACTGGTAATTAAATTGATTTTTGTTTACATTTTTTTGGGTGAAACTTAATTTATGAGTTTGGCTACATCTCACTGTTTAGCGATATGGTAAAATGGAATTAATTTATAGAAGTTTCAAATTAGCTCATGGAGGGAAGATACGAATAACAATTTCTTGAACCTTGTTATAGAGTTTCGGTTGTACTAGGAAGGCTCATTTTAGTCAATAAGGTAAAGTTTCAATAGAAGAGCTGCTTTAGGGTAAATAATAAGATGCACCTAAGAAGCACAAACACTTAAGGTTGGCTAGCGACTCCGTGTTTATCACATGTTGGACACTTTGAAACTTGTTGGTTATGCATTGGACACTTGTTAGCACAATAGATGTGTTAGACATAGTTCTATCAAATCAATATAAACTTATTTTTGAATTATATAAACGCATAAACTTTTTGACTTTGGATTTCCTTCCGCTATAAAGTTATATATACGTCTAAAGATCTATTTTCTAATGGATGTGTCCTTGTCATGTCCGTATTCTGGATTCTTAAAAAATAACGTGTTACTGTGTCAGTATCTTATTGTATCCGTGTCTTGTATTTGTATATGTGCTTCTTAGAGACTTACCTAGCTAGTTTATGTCAGGAAACATATTTAACTAACCTTTTGATCTCTTTTACATTAGAAGTATTAGAATACAAGTAAATAAATAAAAACATAATAGGCAAGAACTACTTTGCCACAAAAAAATGTCTCCTCTCCTAAAATATTTAAGACAACCTTATATAGGACAACCTTTTCTTCCAAGCTCGACCATAATCTCTAAAAGCCAACTTGTTAATATCAATTGGGCACCCAATGTTCTAGTTTAGACCCTTTTAGTGATTAATTGCTACTCTAATGTGGAATTTGACCACTTCTAACCTTTTCTTTGATTAAATGTTTATTGATTTCAACATGTCTAATACCATCGTCTTAAATTGAATTTTGGACTATTTTGTTTTCTTCTTCATCTTCTTCTGTAGGAATGGCAATATGCCTTATTAGGTCCATTTTTTCATTTTTAAACTCTGTAATTCACAATATTTCTTTAGTTTTTTTTTTTTTTTCACTTCAAGCAATTGAGATTTACATCACATGAAGATGTGATACCCAATCTCTATCGTGTAAATTGTTCATACCGACCCAGAAATAAAGTTAGTCCATCTGGAGATTTCTTCAATTGTTCTAGTATATAACATAACATTGGAATTGCTTTCTATTGCTATTCAAGTAGAATCTTGCGGCTGGTCTCATTCAATGCATAAGTAATGCTTGGTCTAATATGGGAAAGAAAATTTTACTTTTTTGCTGACTTCTCAGTAAGTTCATCTCTTGTCCTGAATTGCATATTGAAGTTCATTTCAATTAGGGTAGTAACTGGTTTACTCTTTTCATATCCTTTTTTTTTATTTTTTTATATTTTCTTTCAACGTTGAAGATCATTGTTGCTACTGCTCTTCCGTTTTTACCCAACTTGAAAGCTTTTCTGTAACTCTTTTGGTTTGTAGCCTCTTTCCTTATCAATGAATTTTGGTTTTTGTTTCTGATGAGACCGAGTGAGCCTGTGAAATACAAAGGGGTTCACCGGTAAAGTGGCTATAGTATCTACTAGTTCACACATACAGAGATGAGAATGACTGAGCCTCTGAAATACAAGGGAGTACACTAACAAATTGGGATAGAGTATTTACTAGTTCACGCACATGTGTGCTCGGTTATTCAGACATTTTTGTTGAAATATGGAACATTTTTATTATCTTATTCGTCTTTTATTTTCATTTTTTTGATGAATATGATCTCCTGGACTCTGTTGTTCCTAATGATTCTGTACTTCAACAAGGCATCCTTTGAAAATGGAAGGATTTAAGGCTCGTTTTCAGACATCTTCTAGTTTTCTTTGTATTCCAACCTATTTTGAAGGACATATTTTGAAGCCCTAGCCAACTTTTGAATATTAAAGTACTTTATTAAGATCCATCTTTTGTTTTTGTAATATTTCTTGGGTTTCTAATGTATATTTTAAAGACTAAATTACAAATTTAATCTCTGAAATTTTAGTAGTATCTAGTTCGTGCACCCTGCAAATGTCTAATAAATTTTAAACTTTATATTTTGTGTCTAATAGGAACTTGAACTTGGACTTTACAAATATCGTTATCAGGACTGGGCTTAGGATTGATGTGAGTGGTATGAAAATTTGGAGTTGTTTTCCTTGCGCAGGCACTTTTTCCAGTTTCCTTCATGTTCTCCAGAAGTTTGAAGTTTCCTGCCAAGGAATCAACATCAAAGAAAAATATACATTTCCCTTATTTGATTTCCAGTAAGCCACAAACAATTTCAGACCATGGATCTCGAAGGGTCTACTTGGAACTTTCTCTAGGGTATGTAACTCAATTCTTCTGTTACCTCAGGCTGGAAGAAGCCATGTCCCGTTTATAATTGGGAATCTGTATTCGTATATAAGATAGCAAAAATAAAATCTGTCCGTAGTACCTTCTAGGTGGATTAAGCGTGTTAGATCTTTTGATATTAAGCTTGGTTTTGTTTCTAATGCCTGATCCTTCTTCTAGTTCCTTGGAGGAGGTTTGGGTCACGGTTCTCAATGTCACTGGGCCTTTATCAAATTGGTCATTTGCAGACAATAAGCTTCCAGGTAAGTTTAGGGACCTCGACTTGTGTCTTATGTTCGTTATCTTTTTGACGTGAATTGTTTGTCGTTATAAAACTGGAACAGCGCCCGAGATACTTGCTGGTGGACCGCCCTCTTACATATGCAGACTTAGTGGAGCCAGCCATGAAAACTGGAGATTCTGGCTAGAGGTACAAACTACGAACTCATATTATAGTAGTCAATTTCATTCTAATTGAAAATATGAGAATGTGAGATCCCACATCGGTTGGAGAGGGAACGAAGCACTGCTTACAAACTCCTTACAAGAGTGTGAAAACCTCTCTAACATATGCGTTTTAAAACCTCGAGGGAAAGCCCAAAGAGGACAGTATTGCTAGTGATGGACTTGTGTTGTTACAAAAGGTATCAAAGCCAGACACAGGGCAGAGTGCCGGTAAGGACGCTGGCCTCCAATGGGGTGGATTGTGAAATCCCACCTCAGTTGGAGAGGGGAATGAAACACTCCTTATAAGGATGTGGAAACCTCTCCCTAACAGATATATTTTAAAGTCTTGAGGGGAAGCCCTCAAAAGAGAAAATCCAAATAAGACAATATCTACTAGACGTGGGTTTGGGTGCTTACGGTGAAACTCTCACCATAAGCAAGTTCATCCATATTTCATAATTAGCCACCTTCTTCCTGTACGAAAATATTTCTTCTCGACTACCTGCACGATCTTGCTTACATTCTGAAGATGCAACATGCTATCAACCGACGATTATGCACGATACCGAGCCATCAAGTGAAAGTTGCTTTAAGATGTAGGTGCAATTGACCTGTTTATGAGACTCATGCTCACCTCTTTGTAACATGCAGGCTGAAAGTGAGGAAAACTTGAGAATCGACGTGGCTGTATTGGATCAACAGTTGACTAATGAAGTAAAGAGGTTGAAAAGTCTTTTCCCAGACTGGGTTGATGTCACTGCTTATTCCAGCTTCATGTCTACTTATACCTTCTGATTCGGTCCAGTTACTTGCCTCCACAAGATTATAGCTGATCCGGTTCGGGTTCGGGTTCAGGTTCAGGTTCTACTTGTTGGGTTCTTGGGTTCTTTCTCCGTAGGAGCAGTTCTTCCACCCCTCCATCCAACCAGGCCCATAGGTTTTAATGTATAAGATCTTGGCTAGTTTATTTGTACGATAGCTGTGATCTTCTGTTCTCCCTAGTCTTATACTAAACTCTCTCTTTTTTTTTTTTTTTTTTTTTTTTTTTTTTTTTTTTTTTTTTTTTTTTTTTTT